GGGGGGGGGGGGGGGGGGGGGGGGGGGGGGGGGGGGGGGGGGGGGTTACTCATGCAAACGCATGCGGTAGTCGGTGCACCATACATGTAGACCTCGCATCCTGGCAAAGCCGGGACGGGGCGATATTGTATGCCGGGTTTTCGCCCGCCCAGGCTACGTACGTTTTCACAAGGATGAACCAGAAGCGGCTGGAGTGGGGGTGAACATTGACATGGTTTGCTGTCGCTTTTTCCTGTAGCTCTGGTTGGCGAGCCGAGCAAGAACGGCAGCCTTTTGGACGCGAACGCTGTGACCCAACCTCTAGCGTACCAACACGCAATACTCGTGGGAGACACTCCTCCTTGAGTGACTGGTTGTAAGGGGGTTCTGGGTTTGCCACCTGAACCAGTGTGCGGGGTTGTTCTCTCCATATATATTTATATATAATTTTCTCTCTTTCTCTCTCCCTCCTCTCTCATCTCTCTCTGTATCCCTCTCCCTCCTCAATGCGCCAAGCCGATTATTGTGCATGCATACGTCGTGTGCCAATGGGTGCGGGACATTGTCCGGAAACTCAAGCTGCACATACAGAGAGCACTACGGCCCGCAACCAAGTAAATACTTCAAGTACATGCTCAAATTTTCACGAACAACAATAATTTTGGCGGCGTTAAGCAACACAGCTCAGCCATGCATCGTGCACAAAACTCTCCGTTAAAAAACACCCCGTGCTCGACGGTGGTGATGAAATCAGAAATCGACTCTCGAACACGACACCGACATTGCTGCCATCGCAGGAGCAGCAGCAGCAGCAGAGGAAACCACGCGGCCCACGCCGACACCACACCGACACCGACAGACAGACAAACAAACAGGCAGATGGACAGATAGATGGACAGAGACGGGCTTACCTCGGCCAGGAAGCCGTGCAGGCTCATGGCCCAGGCCCCCAGCGGCCCCTCGGCGTTGGCCAGGGCGGTGGCGGTCGTGACCCTCCGAATAGCTCCCTGCATGCGGGACTCGCTGGATATCGCGGCAAGCACGTCGCCGTCCGCTGTATGTATTTAAGGTTTTCGACGCAGAAACACAGTACAGAGGGCGTGGGTCGTACGTGTCTAGGGGGCAGGGTCGACAAAGGATTGACGCAACCACGCTTCAAGCGCAAGGCACACTATCAATAAAGTTCCAGCTCGTTGTGACGAGTACGAACCAAGCCGACAGGGGAAGCGCATAACGGTAAGGGCTGGCATAGGACTGGCGACGTGAACGAACAGCATGTCATACACAGAGAAACCCACTGTCGCTGCTGATTTTTACCGCGGCGTTCATCGACGCACACCACTAACGCGAGCACACACGAGGACGCCTGAAATTTCACGTACGTTTCCGTCGGTCTTGCTGGCCAACCCGTCGCTTTTTCATCAAGAGACAACCTACGCAAAATTCGGGCGCATACGGCAAGAATCGAGATGCTGCCACGGCAACGGTCCTTGTTAGGGGAAGTCTCCGGGGGAGGCGGGCTTCAAAGCGTAGTCTGGGGGAGGGGAGGCGGGGGGAGGGCGTGAGACACACTGGTGGACACCTCAATCCACACGTGCACCCTCACCTTTGGAGTTGTCCGCGACGCTGCCACCCCCCGCCTCGGGCTGGAAGTGCAGCAACGGCTTGACCGCCTCCTTGATGGCGTTGGAGTCGGCCTCCCTCTCCTTCTCGTTGGCCTGCACGGCTGTCACGGCCCTCCCGATGCGACTGATGCACGCCGATGCCTTCCTCCTCTCCACGGCCTCCTCGCTGCTCAACGCCTTGTACAAGCTGGCATCGGTTCCGCCACAAACGTTGCGAGCACAAGCGATCGAGAGGGGGGGGGGAAGATCCAGACATCATTCGAACATACTCTCATTCTGCAGGGTAGGTGACACAACCACAGCAGCATCAGCCCGCAACTACTATTAGAGCGCAAGAATCATAAACTCATGACTCCTCTGAGAAATAAAGTTCGTGCTACACGGCGCCACTACTGTAGGTGGACAGCCGCACTACCACCGGCCCGACCTCAAACAACACCAGCAACAGCATCGCGCCCAAATCATCCTCAACGGTCTTGGCAAGGCTCGCGACTGCTTTGGGGTACCTATCAATATTGATTGCCCATTAAGCATCATCGTATATATGAAAATGGTGTATGGCACGTACCATATAGTCGGAGCACAGTTTGATACCGTATCGTATTGCGTACCGTGGTGTGGTACTCCGTGAGGCATGCTACGTTATCATGTGGTATTCTTGCAGCACAACGCGGGACAGCATTACAGACGGTCGGGTCCACATGTACGGCGTGTGGTGCGCTTTACCTGACGAGGACGGGAGACGACGACAGCAGCGCCAAAGCCTTGTCCCGGAGCCAAAGGCTAGCCCGGACCCTTTGTCGATGCACCTTCTGGCGCTTCTCGTAAGCTTCTTTGGCTGCTTGTTTTCATTTTGTTGTCACACGGCAAGCAGGACGTAAAGCAACACACAAACACAGCGATTTATAGTGAGGGTAGAGTCAAACTCTAGTCTTGCTCATACGCGCTGTTGTCATACAGCCAAAAGACGGGGCTGGGTTGTGTTCGTGTGCAGTGGGGCAAGTGTGAGGTCTCGAGACCACAGGGGGCCTAAAACACTCATGAGGGGAATGACAATGAAAAACACCGTGTGTGTGTGCGGTGGTGGGGGGAGCACTCGAGAAAGCACACAGCAACGAGCGCACAAATGCCGACGATTACATCATCTCGACACGTTGCTTTCCAAAGAAAAAACAAGGAGTGACACGCGACCTAGATCGCGTGGATGGCATCACGGACCATCCACGCGACAACGTGTTCCAGCTGATGAGTGCCGACGACGAGGCTACCAGCTCATGAAGTAATCATCACACGGCATTGTCAATCCACCGCTACCTCAAAACGGGTGCTATTTGAACAATGCACCGACGACTTTTGCCTCAGCTTTTGTTTATGTGTGGTCGTCACACGGCGAATGTTCATGATGAAGACGAAAACACCCGCTCCCACCTGGCAAGCCCGCAAAGTCCTTAGGGTCTTGCGCATCGTCTGGTTCCGCAGCACACCATCTCACGGCGGCTTCCAAAGCCGTGTCGAATACCTTGCGAGGTACAGAGGAAACCGCAACACACACTCCAGCGTTACGAGCAAAACATAACAACATACAAGGGCAAACACAGGAACAAGAGACGTAGAGAGGGGACGAAAACATACCCCCCGAAGTAGGAGCAGAACGGTAACAACAACAACTAAAAGGGCACAAAAAAACAACCATCAACAGCAACAACACACGCCGGTACCACCACCTCCACTTCGACCAGCTACAACACGGCCGTATACCTCCCGATCCGGCATCGTAAGGCCGTGTGCCAGCACCCTAACCGCAGCACTGGCAAGCTCCTGCCCCGCTTCATACACAGAGCCGCGGTCCACATCTTTCAGCTCAGCCAGATCATCCGTCACCTGCCATCAGGGGGGGGGGGGAGACATGGGACCCCACCGGTTGTTGACATGAGCGTGGAGAACAGCTGCAGGCACACACAAGTCATCGACACGCAGAGAACTGCAGTTCCGACAAATCAGCTGCGGCACCGTCCACGCCACAGCCCCGTCGTGGGGACAAGAAGCAGTAGGAGGGAGACGGAGAACGTCACCGCCGTGTGCTGACGCGCACATTCGACACTGCCGTGCGGTTGCCCAAACGGCAAACGGCGGGTGAGTGACCTAAGCACAACGCGCCGGAGAACGCGCCCAACCTGACACGAGAAAATATGACGCCGTGGACGCCCTCCCACCATGCGCCAAACCACAAAACTGCGTCTTGTACCGTCGGTTTTGTCGGGAGGGACTGCACACATCACCACCACACATCAGGCTCTTAATGTATGCCTCGTCGAGAAGCAGGGTCCTATCGTCGGGAGCGCACAAAAAACTGCCCTCAAAAAATATCTCCCGTGTTACAGGGTGCTGCTCAGACAGCATGCACAGCAGCATCCACAGTAGGCCATCCACAACACCACAACCGTCGGAGGACCAGCGGAGTATAGCACGGTACGGTACGGCACGGCACGGTACGGTACGGTAGAACCAAACAGCCGTACACAGCAGTACCGAGTACATGACACATAGCAGGTGAGAGCCATGTAGTTGCTGGCGACCCACCACTCGCTGGTCCCACTGCAGCAGGTGCACGGCAGCCGTGAGCGCCCCCGCCGACAACCCGGACCCCTCCCTACCCCCCACTGCTGCGCCCGCCGTGCTCGCACTCCGTTCCGCTTCTGTCGCCAAGATGTCTCCAAGGTCCGACAGCACCTCCTGCCGGGCGCCAGCGGCAGCAGCAAACAACACCGGCAGCAGCAACGACGAGGACAATATATAGACAAAAGACCCCTAACAACATAGACATACGATCAGCGTTGCCGTGGTTGTCAGGTTCCAGGGACAAGCAAATGCTCATGCATGGTACGTACATGCCACAACCACCCCTGCAATCCCGAGCAGGAAGCTGTCGACGCTTGCAACGTAGAAAAACACGAATCCCGCCTGCTGCGTGAAACAGTCCGAGCTGCGTTGGGGTTCATATTGCTATGTTCAAGAGAGCTATGAGCCGCGTTGGCGCTGGTGTTGCTATGTACAATAGGGCTACTGCGCAAATAGCAGGTTGGTTGGTACAGCTCACCGTTCCTTGCGTCTTCAACAGCACCAGCCCGAAGGCCTTGTGCTGGGCCGCGGCCCCGAGCGCCCTGAGTGCCTCCTTGGCGGTCTTGGGAAACCCTCCCCCACCGGCCTTCATGCACGCCCTCAGCGGCACCATGCCGCCGTCCTTCAGCAGCTGCAGCAGCGGCGGCGCACGCAAACACCGCAATCGACGGGAGGAGGTGGTGTCACAAGTGACACACGCGAAAGACCCGCCCCCCCTCAGTAGCTACAGCACGATGAGACAGATCACGCAGCGTCTACATAGACAACGAATTCCACATCGCGCACAAAACGCACATTGCTACACCGTGTAACTTTGTGACCAGCGCGAACCAAGGCTACAAAAAATACCGAGCTTCGCATCAATGGCGGTGAAATCAAAACAATGTTCGACCGAAACAAGGTACAAAAACCAACTAATCAAGAAGTGGCAGGGTTGCTCGAGGCGCGGCCAATTCTCACACCAGGTGATGCCAAAACCAAAAAAAGTCGAGCAAGGCCAGGGGTGGGTCAGGTCCACATTGGTACCAGAACGAGCCCAACCCCACGTTAGGCATGGGGCAACAAACGGTACGGTCAACCATAAACTACGACAACACCACGGTAGGTGGTAGTAGCGGTTGGTGCTTCGAAGATGCTTCACGGGGAAGGGGTTGGTACCGTAGGGCAAGAGGGGCACAACGGATGAAGTGCTAGTTGTGGGTTATAACGGGTGGGAGACCCCGCTTTTGGCGAGATTCGCGTAACGCCATATGGGTGGCACACGTCAGCTCCGCCGACCACTGATACCTGGACAGCAGCGGCCGGTTCGCTCGACAGCAGAGCTCCCAGCGCCAGCATCACTTGGCTTTGGTCCTCATCCTCCTTCGAAGCTGCCGCCTCCTCCGCGGTGGAAACCCCTGATGCCGGCGCTGCTGTCGCCGACGCCAGAGACTGTAGCGGTTGCGACTTGCCCTCCGGCTGCTTTACCTTGTCCGCCGCCTCGCGCAAGGCCTTAAGAGCCTGCCAAATCACCAACCGCACCGCCCACAACATGCGGTCATGCATTACCTTGTTGAGAGAAAGACCCCTTGTCCAAATTTCACGCCAAACACACTAGCGCTCCGAAACATGGCACTAATACATGTTTTCCATTGCTGCACATGATGTGCTCCTTCGGCTTGTGACACGTTGGCGAATCTATCATGAGGATTGTCTACGACACCGTATGCATTCCATCATGGAATCACGTCAGACCAACGCAATCAATTCAACAACAAACGCGTTCGATACGTGAAGTACGGATATAGCATAACGGTACACTGCCTAGCCATGGAAATATCATCCCGATCACACCCATCGGATGGGCGTGTGTAGCTTGGTCGTTTGTACCACTTCATGAGCCTCCGAACCTGTCCCACAACAGCAACCACGTGCGGCAGTTTCAAGAACTGCGGTCTCCCCAGCCAGATGAGGCAAACAAATACCCAACAGAACCGTTGACAGAAAACCACTGATGCAGCAGGACACCTGTCGGATGGGCGTGTTCAGCCTTGAGGCTTGTGCGACCTTGTCCTTAATCCTCCTCGCCGCCCGCACGGCTTCCTTATTGCCTGGCTCCAGCTGTTATTGAGCAGCGGAAGCAGCACCCAGACGCACCATATCGAAGAGCACATCAAAGTAAGGCAACGTGCACAAAAGTGCACCACAATGGGGGCGGAAGAAAGCTGTGAGAACGAACACGAGGAATTTTCATGCTCCATGCATCCTACCGCACCGCTAGACGCTCGATTTTATCTCCTCTACGGCGCGGTGGAGGGAGATGATGGTGGTGCTTGTACGGTACACGGGGAACATTTTATTTTCTGCGGAAGGCACCAACACTGCTGTCGTCTGTGCAACTCATGGCCTCAGCAAACATGGTCAACACGACGAGGCCAACAACAACTGTAGTGCAGTATCCTACCACAGGATGATTGTCAAGTCACAATCGATGTGATCCCTTTCCGCAGCGTAAGGCATCCATACCTCTAGCGCTCTCTTGGCGTCTCTCATCGCGTCGCCGTCCTCTCCCAGCTGTTCCCGGGCAAGAGCCCTCCTGAAGTACGCCTTCACTCGACCGGGATCATCTTCCAACGCCCTGGTGCAGTCCGACACGCAGGCTTCAGCCTGCACCCATGAAAGGGCAGCGCGGGGACACAACAGGTGAACAAATGTCATCACTGCTGCTGCATGTGCATCAAATGAATTCACGGCGCTCCGTTGTGCGTGCCTCTACAGCTGCGGGTGGGAGGTCTACGGTGCAGGAGTGGCAACAGCACAAGCTGATTTCGTTGGGCCCACGTGTTGCGGACGACCCTGGCGCGCGGGGTCGGCCTTCAAAACCACACGCCCAGTCACAGATAGATCTGACCGTGCAGACGCATGCGTGCCAGTTTCATTGCGCCTCCTATCGAGTGATATGCGATTCCACGGGAACCCTCGTGAAGGAGGAAAGGTCCTGCTTAAGCGCGCCGCCGTTTAGGTACATACATCGTCCCGTCTCCTATCCAGGCTCGTAGGTTTGAGCAGTCAGAGGTATAACAATCGTAGAGGCACGAAAAGGTAAGACACGAAAACAACTACCGCCTGGCAGAGAAATACAAGACTCATGCGTGAGGCCCACTCACTTCTCCCGCCCCCTTTGCTATGTACCAATGGACTGGTCTGCGGATGCCGTTGTGTGGGGCTACTTTTGCTGTTGAGGGCGGAAACGGCAACTGCTACAAAGTGTACAGAGCGTGAGTCCATCCACAATCGTGTGCAGCTCTTCGCCCTGGCGGATACAAGACACGGCAGACAGCAACCGGTTTTCCGGAGAGCCAATGCCGACAGATATCTATCAAGCAACCTCTCCGATACATCATCGGTTTTCATCTTCCCCGTGATCGCCAATGCTAAGTAGGACTCCTCGCCGTCGTGTGTTCGACTGCACGGCGGTTGACGTGGTGGCAGCTGTGTCTGGGGATGTTCCGGTATGTACAGGTAGGCTCTCACCTTCCCTTGCTTGAACAGGACCATCGCCCGATTGGTCAGGACGGTTGATCTCAGGTTGGTCCCTTCCGGTGAAGACTCACCACGGCATCGCTCCAAAGCAGCAGAGTATAGCTAAATGGGTCAACCGCAAGAGGGGAAGAGGGGGAGGAAAGATGCGGAGAAACTTGAGCGACCGGGCGGAACGTGGTTGATTCATATATAAACCTCGCAATCAGGAGCAAGGGAGCTACTTACGAGATCATCTCCAGAAGCAATCAGGACCTCTGTAGGCCAGAGGTCCTTGGACGTGCTCAGATACTCATGCTCGTGCCGCAAGGGCAACAAGCCGTAGTCTGTGGGCAGGTGATTTGCCGTTCCCCTGTTTGGGTAGAAGGGTGTGTGCACGGCTACGTCTGCTGCTGTGAACTCAGCGTGTGGCACTGGTACATGATGTTCGAAAGAAGTAATGAACTCGACAGCACGAGGACTTGGCCATTTTCAAAAAAAGCCAGCGTACTGCTGTGGTTCGGCCACTAGTGGTGGGGTTGTGAGCAGGAGGAGCAGCAGAAGGCCGTTTGTTTCAGGTGACTTGTTATCGTAGTATTGCAGTTATGTTCTCGCTCACCTCGTATGCTTGCTGCAAATTGCCAGCCGCGAAGGCTTTGTTCCCTACCTCCTTGAGACCGACAGCGCTACCATTGCTCGCAGGCGGAGGAAGCGGGTTGACCATTGTCTCGTGCTATCGTGCTACGCGTCGCTGACGCTGTATCTGTAAATCTCTCCATACGCTGAGCAGCGGCGGGAGCATGCGGCGTAACCAAGGGCGAGCTACGAGCTGGAAGGTAGGCCCGGGGGGGGTGGAGGTGGGGGGAGCAGATAAACGCCTCATCAGCCCTTCGAAACCTTTGAAACCGTCAAACCGTCGCCTCCTGTCCGACTGTCCGACATCGCGGAGGTGAGGGGTGGCACGATGCAACAATATAATGTGCCCCGCCACTGGGATGGAATTCTTCTTTTGCACGAACATTATCCAAGAAGAATAACATCACAGGACCTCTGCTCATCATTGTTGTTGCGAGTGACCGTAGTTCAAGAGCGACTTGTTAAAAACAAAGGCGTGTGGTGCTTGTTGTCTAGCTGCTCCTAGTGCACATGAAATGTCTCGAAAACACGTCGAGGCTCTCCCTCACCAGCCTGCACAATGCCGCCAGGCGAGAGGATTCAGCTTCCTTGCAACGCCTCATTGCTACCATTGACCCGCTCGCGGCGGATAAGATTGGTGCGGTTCTACAAGACGGCGACAGTAGGGGGGCGTGCATTTCGAGTCCTCGCACTCCTGCGGCGGCTCCTAAGAATAAGGAACATACCCGTTGCCTGTCTGTACGCATCATGTAGTTGTCCAGCAAATGTTTTGCCAAACTTTCTTCGCATCTCCTGCGAGTTCTACAATCTCCAGCAACATTGGCAAGTAGCTCTGTTGCATCCAGCTTTTCCAACGGTCGTGTACGTCCAAGACACATCTTCATAGCTGCAGCTTAGACTGAGCTTGATAGATTCCCCTGATACCAAGACCGAACGCAGTCAGTGCCAAGACCGTAAAAAGGTCCTACGTACAAGGTGACCTTGCTCGACTGGTGATTTGCATCCCGAGTACTCCGTAGTACACTGCCGCATGTTGTGTTCTTTCGCACGTAAGTCCGATCTCTGGAATCCTGGTTTGCAGACAAGGTATGTACATGAGAACGCTGCCCAAACAACTTGCAGTCAGCCACTGAGAGAAGTACACAACGAGCGGCCAACATTGGAGGAATGAAGCACTCCCGAAATCGATGCACCGGCTGAGGTTCTTGCCCTGCAGTGCAGAGCACAATCACGCTAGACTACCATGAACCGTCTGCATATTGTGTGACTTGCCGCCCGCATTGTGCGCGGTCCTCCTTCATTGTTGAGCAGGTCAAGGGCAAAGGAGCTGGCAGAACCACATCAAAACTCGCGCACGCGCAAGAAAAGTCAGGTGGCCAGAAGAAAAAGCTCCTAGCCGCTTGAAGCGATTGTTACAACAACAGGACTCAAAGCGGCGCACGGTGCTTTTTGTGGCATGTGCTTCCGGTGAGCATTAATATATAACCACGAGTTAAAAATCTTGAGGTTGTGTTGGATGCCCCACGGTGTTGCAGAGTCTAAGTGCGTGAAAGCTCAGAGCCGATACTCTGGCTGAAAAACGTTTCGTCACAAATCGTCCTTCATACGACGACTCTGTGCTACAACAGGGTCCTTTTGCCATTTTTGTCGTGCTTTCCGGTTTGAATAACACGTCGGCAGTGCGTGAGCATTTCCTGCCCCCGAGGAGGAAGTGAGACTTTCTCGCCAACAATGAGCACCATATTACAGGAGTCAAAGCCGTTACTATTCTAGGTAAATATAGTATTCGATGGATTGCATTCGAAGGACAACTGGCTGTTTTTTTCGTGAACCACGAAGGCGTTGTACTACAATTGACCCCGAAGTACCCGCATGTCCCACACCATCAAACAAATGTTCTCGTCAGCAACGCAAGAACCGTGTTACAATGATATGGTGCCGGCTTTTGGCCTATCGTTGCCCTCCGCAGGAAACACCGAAATCGCAGACGCCTTGCTGACCGTCGGCGCTAGCCTAGACGGCCACGGTGCCTGGCAAAGGACCCCGCTGCACATCGCTGCCTTCGAGGGTCACACTTCGGCAATGCGCCGGCTGCTTGGTGCAGGAGCAGACCCCTGGGCCTTGAATGATCGTGGACAGACCCCATCGGAAGTGAGCCAAATGTTCAACGCCAACCGTGAGGCCCTGGGGCTGCTTGAGGAGGCGGCCATCATGCGGCGAGAAGTGTCCACAGGTACACGTTTAGCCTCTGTACAACTAGAGCAGAACCGCCCCCTGTCGAAACATCCAACCCCAAGCGCTTCACACTCTTGGGCGTCTTAAGATCCACCCACGAGTGCACGAGTAGCAATTTCTCGGCGCCCGCGCGAGGTCAACTCACACACGGTATACACACCGCATTTTCAGCATGAAGCTAACAATTGTTCGGCACGAGGGTAGTAAATCGCTATTGTTGGCGATCAGATTGGCGTGCGTGCTCACGGCGGTCGGTCCTGCCAACGCCCATCTCGTACCGCAGGAACGGAGGGGCTGATAGGGACGACTTTCGTCCACGACGACGGCCAGGTCGGAACCGTTGTTGACGCGGCCGAGCGATGGACGTTCACTCTGGAGGTCGACCTGGACGGCTGGAAGATGGGGAACGGCTCGGGAGTCAAGCTCTATCTTCCTGTGAGGTGCACGACCGCAAAACATTTCTTGATTACGAGTGCTTCGTTCGCCTTTTGTCGCCGTTTCTATCTGCAAGTGCACGCAACCCTGACCTGAACACACACCTCAGCGTTATCCCCGCGTGGCTCATTCCACGCGCGGTAAATGAGCAGCGGTGAACGGCTCAACACACGGGCACCGCCATCCTCGGCTGGGACTGTTGAAACAATGAATGATGACCACACAACAAGCGGCAGCCGATCAAATCCGACAAGTTTTGCTGAGCCTATCCCGAGGCTGGCGGACACGGTGCAGAGAATGAGACTCGAGAGCGAAGATTTGGTGAATGTCACGGCGGACAGTCTCATCGGAGCTAGGGTGTCGAGGAGGACGCCGCTCGGCGGCGGCAGGGTGACCGCGGTGCGAAACGTAAAGATTCGTTGCGACCTCCGAACCGCCGCTTCGAGCACGAGAGCCGGACTTACAACGGCCACGGCGACCGGCAGCAAAAGAGAACGACGTGCCAATGCAACCCTCAGCGAAACACGCAGCGAAGAACCAGACTTGTCTGACCGGGGGGAGTCACTTGGAATGCCAATGCAAGAGGCCCAGCCGTGCCGTAGCTTCTCTACCACCTCGAGCGGTCACTATGTTGGTCTAAAGGTTCTGGAGGTGGGCCTTACTGCAGGGCTCGGGGCCGTTGGGCACCACGGAGATCGGGAAAGGCACCAAGGCGAAGACGGCCCGAAAGCGACAAATAGCTGTGCCACGCCAAGGGGTCCGGAAAATGCAGTCCATGGGCATCGACAAGTTGCGCCGTCGGGGGAGTGCTCAACACGCCGTTGCCTCTCAACGAGGCTTGTCCAAGTGGCGAGCAACCATGGGGTGTCGAGACGCCAGCTGGAACAATGGCCGCCCTCAGAAGGTTCGTGGGCAAACGATGGCGACACCGACGACGAAAGCGGGGCTCCGGATGATTGGTCGGTCGGAACGGAAAGTGCGGCGGAATTGGACGCATGCGTGGCAACTACCGTGAACGAACGCACGCGTGAAGGCTTCGGGTCACAGCGGGCGGGAACACAGAGTCGTAGTACAAACGGCAGGGGAGCTCCGTCCCAACGTGCTTATTCAACGGACCCGACTGCTAGGATGCGCGTCTAGTTTTGGTTACCCTACAAGTATTCACAGGAGTCAATGTTTAGTGTCGTTTTCTTCCAGCATTGGGCTGTGCTGGAGAGAGCGCAATCTCGGTGCGTTGGAACGTCTCAAAGCTGCTGCTGATTTTATCAAGAGGTACTGGTGCAACGTAAACCGGAGAGCGTGGCTTGGGCTGCCGGCGAGAATCTTCACCGCACGTGTTGAATGATTGGATAGAGACCTAACCACAGTTAGGGCTAGACACTGAAACGACGTGCTACAGGTTGGACGAACTGGGTCCTGCGCGAGACAGGTGTGTCGCCCATTTACCAGCCTTTTTTGTTAGAGTTGAGTCAATCGCGGTCGCTCGATTTCCCGCCACGAGCCCCCCTCCTCTAGCTTACTGCGAAACCTTGCCCCAGCTGACACTCGCTCTGACCCAACCTCG